AGGCACTGTAGAAAATAAAAGAAATATATTAGGCTAGGTCATTTTCCTCAAGGAGTTTAGTTTTGTTAAGAAGTTGACTGAAGGTTGTGAAATGACAATATAAGTCACTTAAAAACCCTACCTTGAATATTTTAAAGTTCCATGGTATCTTTTCATATGACTTATCTTCTTTTCTAGACTGCAACCTTCTTTAAAGCTGGGTCCTTGTCTTTGTTATATTTTCCTCCCCCTCCCCAGGCTACAACAGAGTGAGAGTTCTTAATAAAACTGAATCGGATTTCTCTTATCTCTTCTTAGCTACAGTGTCTTTTTTGCCATGGTCTGACCCTAGCAGAGAAACCAGACCTAAAAGAATTAGCTTTCCGAGTAGAAGAAAACATGTTCACAATCTGACCTTCAAGACTAGGGACTACAGTTCTGACTATACTTGGGTTTACAATTTGTTGTTTTTTTACTCTAGGGTATCTCTCTCTCTCTCTCTCTCTCTCTCTCTCTCTCTCTCTCTCTCTCTCTCTCTCTTTCTGTATGTATGTATGTATGAAGTATGCATGTAGTCTATATGTACATAAGTATATACATACATGTACTGTAGACATAGCAGATGCATGTATGTGTATGTGTGTATATAAATTCTCATCCTCTCTTGAATCAAACCATGGAAGCATATCTTAAAATGCAAAAGCCTTCTTTGCCTCATCCCATCGCCTTAATACACATATGAACTTAAGGTGGTAAGCTTTCTGGAAAATTACCACTATCATGCTTGAACTGGACTAAAAGTTCAAGTTGAAGGAGACAGGCTCCTTCCTGTTCCCTGTGTTTACAGATCATATGCAGGGATGAGATGAAGAGTAGCGAGAAGTTTAAACTGTGAAACAACTTAGGGAGCTACTTATCAGGTTAGAGGGAAGAAGGTGAATTTTAACACAAGTGGAAGGACCCCAGCTCATCTGAGTTCCTCAGCTGGAAGGAACTGTGAGGACGGTCAGAAAGAGCCAACAATTGGTTGCTGTGTCTGGTTGCTAACATCTTCTGTGTCATTCTGAAAACAGGTTCATAGCTGATACGGAAATGAGTAGTCTCTAGGCTTAAGCTTAGAAGGAAACTGCTGTCTAAAAAAATAATTAGACTGCGGGTCAAAATACTAGGAAAGGGGCAGATGGAAAAAAAAAGATAAAGTTCTTTGAATTACAACAGCCATTCTATATATTCCAGTGTTTGATAAGTGAGTGTGTGGCTGTGTTCCTTTTCCTTATTGGCATGTGCCATCTTTGTATATTCATTCATTTGTTTATACCTAATTAAACAAAAGACACACAGTGAGAAATGGCAGACAAATTCAAATTTATTGAGACAGACAGAAATGCAACTATTCAAGACTACAATTAAGCATCTACAATTAACCAAGGAGGTTAGCTAAGTGTTCACATTCCAGGTAAATCTGTATGGAAAAGCATTCAGAATTCACTATGCTAGTCTACTTTAGTATGGTCATCTACATTGCATCTACAGTAGGGACAGCCAACTGACACACTCAGTATTTGGGTGACATTCCCCTTACAACACTACACATTTAACAGGAACAAATGTCAGCAGCATTGAGAAAAAAGTATAAAAAGACCAAAACCACCCACTGTAGAAAGAAAGGTCTCTTGGATGTTATTATACAGTGCAGTTGATGCATCAAACAAACATGAATGGTATATGGGAAAGACTTAAGGGAAAGCTACAATGGACCAATTTGGTGGCCTGTGGTGAGAGACAGCTGTCAATTTCACATTATTTGTCACAGAGAGTAGGAGTTGGGGAGGCAAGATGTGTTGGAAGGAATGGAAGGGAGGACTTGCTCTAAAACTCCAAATACAGTATTAAAACATTTCCAAGTCAGACATTTATACTGAAATTGAAGCCAGGTTTAGAGAGGCAAGAGACACACCAATCATTTTTCCCAGACGGAAAATTTAGATTTGAATTGGAAGTGGGAAAAAAAATAGTAAATATTTAAGACCTCCTCACAGCTCACAAGGAATTTCTAAACAACAACATTAGGATGCAACTTGGAAGTTGGTTCTAGTAGGGAAATGGGGAAATTGATCATCAAGATGATCACTGGATATCTGGAATTTTCAAATGTACATAATCATGGTGGTGGAACCCTAAGAGTCATGATGACAGAAGGCAAAGCCCAACTTTCACCTCAGATGATGAAACAGACATTTATTCTTCGAGTATCAGAATTGAGGCTTGTAAAAAAATTATAATTTTCAATGAAAGTGATTTTAAAAAGCTTTTCAGAAACCTGACTTTGTCCTGGCAAAGTTGAGTGAGAATAGTGTTACTGAGCTTAGCTTTAACCACAGAAATAGTTTTGTATTTAAGGTTCTAATGAGTCAGAATACCTTCTTAGAGCATCTCCAAAAATTGAGCATCATTACCTTGCTACAGATTTTCCACAGCACTCTCTTATCCATCATTAAGTTAATGTTAAGGAGCTCTGAGTGTCATCTTAATTTGATACTTGTCATAAGATAATTACGTAAATTAAAATCAGTAGTTCACTACATTCCTAAAAGTTTCTCTAAGCAAAATCAATGTGCCAATCCTAATGAGTTCTCTGGTGCATTTTCAGAGCTAGTTGGAGTTATTAACAATGATTTTCTCTTGCAGTCTGGATTGAAAGTTTTTCATGCATTTTTAATTTTTAAGGGATACATTTTCATTAAATTAACAATTTTAGTAAATTAACTGCAATTATGCAGCTGTTTCCAAACTCTGAGTTCAAAGACTTGGCCAAATAAAATCCACTTGAACCAGAGATAATGCATATTGGATCTTAAGACTGTGACTGGTGGTGATTTCCTAACAGGAGTTTCCTAGTCCTGCAATTGGTGGCACACATAGCAAGACCCATTCTATTAGAGCAGCAGCTGTATGACCTCCTTGTTCTTGGTTCTCATACATCAATAGCTGAATCAATTATGTTCATAAGCAGGAAGAGTTAACATGGGGTGTTGTGTCAGTTTAGCCAGATGGGATGGGCAAAGGAAAAAAAAATCATTCAATTCAATGAGAAAAAAATGGCAGCCAATTATATCATAGTGACTAGTAAACTAGCGAGTTGACCAAATTTTTGACCGAGCTGATTGAATGCAGTGGTGTGGCTTAGGCCACAAGTGAAGAAGGAGGTAAACCACCAAAGGGTGTATTGATTTCATCTGCCAATTAATTTTCCTATAAAGCAGGGTGATGAATTGATGAAAATATAATAAGCACTTTCAACTGGGGAAGAGGATGGCTAAGGCTATGTTGAAAGAAAGTTCTTTGGTGGGGGAAAGAAAACCTTACTTAAAAGGCTTTCAAACCCCTTTGACTAGCCCTATTGCGAGAGGCAGGGAGAGAGCAATTATAAGGACTGAATAGGATGAAGATCTGCAGGATTTGCAATAAGCATGTGGTATTAGTAATCCCCTTCTGCCCACTTGTGGAGATATAAAATTTTCATAAAAAACTCTTGGGATAAGGAAAGTAATATAGAAGAAACTTCTAGCTTTATAAAGCTAAGTTCATTTGTATCTAAGAAAGAAAAATAAGAGATTAAAATTCAATTTTTTAAATCAATCTTTCTACTCCTTAATTACAATCCCAATTTTGTGAAGATGTCATGAAGATTTCCTTTTGATTCACTATCCTTTGATTTTTTTTTTCTTTTGGCAAAGCGTGAAACCCATTATCAATCCTACAGAGAACAGATCCCTCTGGGGATGGGCAGCCAAAGATAAATAATTGCCAACACTATTGAGGGCAGTGGCATGAATGAAAATTGAGACATTGAGAAAAGTATATTTTCTTATTATTTCTTTTTTTTTTAAGTAGACATCAATGTGGTAAGAAACTGCCTGGAGCATCATTTTGTGGGCTACATGTTTATAATATGTCCTGGATTTCCTTTAGAGCTTTTTGCTCCTAAGAATTTTACTTCCTCATCAAATACACTATGGGCAAAAATGTTTAGCATCAACTTTGGTCTAGTCCTAACACTCCAGTCTCAATCTTCAAGTTAAATGGCAAGATCATACAGGAACAAGTATGGACTGTATACAGGTTGGTCATAATGGGTGGATTCGCCTCCCTCTCTCTATTTTTTAACCCCAAACCCCTGGTTTCTTTCCCATAGGGTCTAGAGGCCAGCCACTGGCATATTTTCAGTACCTATCAAACCTCACTGCATTCTACATGAAGCTTTACCACCATGGCCCTTATGCAGAAAAAGCTGGAGTCTCTCTGAGGATGCTGAGTATGATAACTTCTGCCCTACTCTGGGTCCAATTACAGCTAAGGTCCTTGGAAGACTGGGCACAGTTATATCTTTGGTGCACAAGTCTTCACTGGTAAAGGCATGTGAGGCTGTTTGTAGATCTTGCCTTTGTTGGAGGAACAGGCCGAATACAAAACTGTAGTCAAATTCTTCAATTGCCTTCTCGTAATGAAATATTGTGATACTGTATATTTTTTTTAAGAGACTGTTAGATATGCCTTAGGAAAGCCCTGTAGGAGGAATTGGAGGAAAAGAACAGGCAGTAAACAACACAGTTGCCTAAGGAAGTCTGTGAGATGATATGAAAGAGACAGCTTAGGATGCTGAGGAGAGTGAGAATTCCATGGCTTCTGCAGGAGAAGTTGTTTAGGAAGTCTGGGACTCATCAAAATCAAAGAGACTTTCAACAACCCTGCTGGTGCCTGAGAGAAGAAACTGCATCAGCCTGCAGGTTACAAGTGCCAACTATTAATGCAAAAACAGTTTCTACACAGATTTCGGATTTTTTCCTTCTGGAAATAGTAATTGTCTGGACAGGCTGGCATCTTAATTACTTCTCAACTGTGTTCTCCAATGATTCTAAACAACTATCTCTTCCTGTATAGGGGTATGAGTGTGTGTGTGTGTGTGTGTGTGTGTGTGTGTCTGTATCTGTGTCTGTGTATCTCACACACACACACACACACATAGATATAGATATATATATACATACATAAATATAGAGAGAGACAGGCATCTGGCAACCATTCTATAGCAAAGAGAATGGCTCCCCAAAGGGGCTCTTGGCAGAATTAAGGCCATTGTTTTTAGAAAGCCAGAAGTAGCTATGCACAGGAGAATCAATTTTTAATGATAAATATCAGGGGTTTTTTTTGGGGGGGGGAGAGGAGGCAAGAGGGAAGATTCCAATGAGGCATTTCATTTTTCCCCATATCATCTTCAATACACAAGAAAAGCAGCCAGCCATTGCAAGCACGTCTAGGGAAAAAAAAATGTGCCATAATGAACTACCAGTGCGGACAAACAAGACAGGGTTCATTTTTTTTTTCATCCAGAGGACCTGGCTCCCTCCCCAGTCAGAATTTCACATAAACTACATAATTGTTGAGAGAAATCCTCCTGAAGGGAAGAAGGGAAGCCAGGAGCATGAGACTTTGTTTAAGTGAAGCCAGTTGTCCCCTAGCCCAAAGAAAAAAACATCCACATCCCCAAAATAGCCATACTTGGGAAAGAAGGAAAGCTGTCTTCCAAATCATACACAGGGTACAGAATAGAACCGTGGAGAGGAGACATTTTGTGCCTAATGGTTTTAGATACAATTATTGAGTTGTGACGGACTTGTGATATTGTGCAAAACACACGTCCTTTGTCCTGAGGGGACTACCATATATAGCCAACCTCATCCTCCTTGTCATCATCTTCATCTTCATCATCTTCATTCGTTGCCCTCACATGAATTTTCAGTTTCCCATCTTTGTCCTTTCTTGCTCCTCCGTGTTCTTCTTCCAGATCATCCAGGAGAACCACAGCACCCCCACTGCCAAAATCTCCCGAGGTTTCTTGTTCTTCTTCTAAATTTTTTTTTTAAGTAAAGCAGACAAACACAAAAACATTAGAGGTGCCTCTCTTCCATACTCTCTGCCACTGATGACTACTGTCTTTGCCTTGCTTCTCTCCTGTCTGAAGGCTCACTATCTGCCTCAAGGTGATAAATAGTACTTCCCTGTCAACTTGGCAGAAAAATACCAGCATCCCCTTACCCACCTGAAATGATCAATCCCTGTAGGATCATAGGAGCAAAGATCAAAGAGCAAAGAGCTAGAAGAGATCTTAGACACCCTCTAAGTTTCAGCTTGGGGCCAACTCCCTCCTTTTGAAGATGAGAAAACTAAGGCAGAGAGTTAAGTGACCTGTTCAAGATCACACAGTTAAGTGGCAGAGTTAGGTTTTGAATCTAGGCCTCCCGACTCCAGATTCAGCATGCCTTCCATTAGACCATTCTATAGACCTATAAGTAACATTTCAAACTAATCAGGTTCTAAAGAAATTATATAAGTTTTTTTTTTCCTGTAGCATTTTTAGGTGTATAAAACTAAAGAATTAGATGCTTGATACTAGGTCTTAAGAACTGGCGGTATAAATAACTCCACTTAAAAGCTGACTCCTACACTGTTAGATTTCTCCATCTTTATGATAATATAGCACCCACCATCATTCTCTAGCCATTGCCAATTATTCTCTATATTCTATATTATTTTATATCTTTCTTATGCCATTATAATGGACGCTCCTTAAAAGTAGGCACTTACTAAAAGTGTGTTGATTATTATTCCTTTGGTAAATTCAACAAGAACACTTCCTCTTTCCATTTGAATGTCATCTGAAGTCTTATTTTCTAAATCCTCTGTATATTCCCTGTCACCTTCCCCTAAAATGTCCAATGTAGCCCTCTATATAGTTATTAACTGTTGACTGACTGACTGCACGTAGTAGTAAACTGAATTACCCTCAAATTATAACTGACTGATGTCCAGGGAGTAGAGTAGGGAGGGTAGGGGCTTAATTCCACTACTCACCACAGTTCACAGCTCCTTGCTTCCTAGAGCCGGCCAGCTCATTCCCATACTTATCCACACACCAGCACTGTCCTGTGCTCCCATGACACTGAGTGGCTTTGTAGTACCCTTCATCATTGCAGCGGGGAATGAATGTCCCTAGAGGAAACAAAGATAATTCTCAGATCCCACATTGGAATCAAACCGAAACAAGCTAAACAAAGACTCCCCTGGATTAAAGATATGTGATGTCTTATGATTCCAAATCATTATTTGCATATGTGGTAGATGATCATAGTATCACGACACTATTTTTTGCTTCACGGGATGTCAGAATCGGAGGGAACCTGGAGATCATCTAGAAAACTGAAGCTGAGATGGCTATATGACTATATACTCTAATGGCATATATTTATGTGTGTGTGCCTATAATACACATGCATACATACATACATATGTCATTTAATAAATTGGTGTTAGAATCAGCATTAGGAAACTCAGGTCTCCTTCTTCCTAGTCCAGTCCAGGTGTTCCTGTGCCAATTCTGCTGACGGGCTCATTTGGACAGGCTCTCCATTTGTGGAGTTGCCATCCTCCACTCTTTGTCTATCGAAGCTCTTGATGGAGTCAAGACCTGGCATACCTCTTTGGAAAAGTTCATTTATAATTATTTGAATGAAATGCTCATTCATTCACTCACTCACTCACTCATTTACTTTATACATTAATTCATTCTTCATGTTAAAGGCAGAAGGTACCTTTGGAATCTGAGACAGTCTAGGGGAAAAAAATAAGACAACGATCAGATGGCATCAGTAACCACAGGAAAAATTAGCTTAAAAGAGATATTTATATACAAATTCCCAAGCAGATCTGCAAGGGAGAACATGTGGTGAACTAGAAGGAAAACTGGCCTACCTATCAAACCACTCCATGAAAAACTTATCAGCAGACAGGAAAATATATATTTGTCTTAATTCCCTAGGCTGGTAATAAGCCAGGTGCTGCACTGAATCTACAATATAATAAAACTAACACTTTTTTCTAAGTAGGCAGTAATTATAACTGATTATAATTTGTTGTTGCTTGTTCCTGGGTTGCTCTGAATGCCCTCTGAATGCACGGTTATTACATCAGGAGTTTTTCCCTTGGGGAAAATAATTTGTAAGCAAATAAATAGAATTCTTGTTTGCCAGCTATAACATTTCAATGTGTTCTAGTCTTAGATGAGGAAAATGTGATGAGAAGATCTTTCATATCAGATACAGAGCATTCTTCAGAAAAGTCAAGAATATGATTCACTGGTTGGTGAATAATAATTATATCATGTCAAAATCCAGGTCTATGCCTCCACTAAGGCAAGTAATAAATACTAATTGATGAGGTAGAAATATAGCTCAGAAGCATTTAGATGTAAAGACATATTTTGCTGTAAAATATGTATATATATATATATACATATATATGCGTTACATATGTATATTATATACACATATGTATATGGTGTCCCAAAAGTCACAGTACAGATTTAAGCTACTAAAAAAAGCTGAACCATGACTTTTGGGACACCCTTTATTTGTGTATCTACATTTACATATACATATAAGGTGAGAAGCAGCATTGTGTAGTAAATAAAGAACTGCACTTAGAGTCAGGAAGATTTGGGTGTGAATTTCATCTCAGGTGCTCTGTGTGAGCTGTGTGGCTCTGGGCAAGTCAGTTAACTTCTCTGGTCCTCAGTTTCCTCATCTGTAAAATGAGGAAGTTTTACCTCTAAAGGCCCTTCTTACTTGAAATTGATGATCTTATGATCTACTATCTTCTCACTTTGATGCCTCCTTATGGTGTGGAGTTATCTAAACCTCAGCAAGGTTCTACTAAGTTAAAAAGGCTTTAAATATAGGTCCTGTGACAGCTCACTGTTGTATAGCATAGTAGGAAGAGTATTGGCCTTGCAGTCACAAAGATCTGGGTTCAAAACCTACATCTACGATATTAGCTAAGTGACTAGGCATACTCATTTAACCTCTTCGAGTCTTAGGTTACTAATATGAAAAATGGAAATAATGATACCTTATAAGACCTACCTCATAGGAGAATTGTGGTTCTCAAATGAGATAAAGAATGCTTTGCAGACTTTAAAGGGATATGTAAGTGTCACTTATTTGTTATTATCTAAGGGCCAGTCTAGCTAAGTGCAGGGTGGTGAACTCCTTGGTCATAGCAACTCTTGAATACCATCTACTATGTTGTAGAAGGGCTAAAACCTGTGTCACCAGAAGAAGTGCCCACACCCACAAATACAGATCTCCTTGAAATATTGATATGAATATGTTAATTATCTTTGTTCTGTCATTAACTAGCTGCATAACCTTGGGAAAATTATTACCCTTCTCTGGGATATACATCTTGTATCTTCCCATGTGTAAATATACAAACAAATTAATTCATTTATTACAATAAGTTTACAAGATTTTTTTATAGCGATGTTAAGAAGGAAGTGCAAATAGTCTTAATGCCCTTTTATAGAAGGAGAAACAGGTTCAGAAAGCGGCTTGCTCATGATCACACAACTGATAAACTTCATGGAGAGTTGGATTGGATGATATTGGAGGTCTTTTCTAGGAGGATCCCTTTGAAACTGTTATTCAAACTTCAGACTTTGTTCTATATTTGAGGTCTTGTATTTCTTATAAAATGGGACTCTATACCCTTTTTTAATGATAGCAATTCTCACTTATAATAACCTCCTTTTGGGGGCAGCTAGGTGGTGCAGTAGATAGAGCACTGGCCCTGGAGTCAGGAGGACCTGAGTTCAAATCTAACCTCAGATAATTGACATCTACTAGCTGTGTGACCCTGGGCAAGTTCCTTAACCCCATTGCCTAGCCTGCCCCCCCCAAAAAATAACCTCCTTTTCACACATATACACACCACCACCACAACCACCAACACAACTAGGAAAATTCCTAAGAAATTTCCTGTTGCAGGGCCACAGACTATTAGCCAAATGGAAACCTAGACCTAATTGCAGATTCCTTCCTGCATGATATGACAAAGCACATCAAACCTTCCCTCAGCCGACCTTGGCTAGACAGAAAGAGGAAGATGCGAAGTTACACTTAAGGTACTTAAGAATGTATTTTGGATGTGATTCCTGCATACTGATAGTCATCTGCTTGGCTATTTACTTTACACTAAACATAGCCAAAACTTCCCACCCAGTACAAGTTCTCATAGAAACAGAAAATCTAATAAGAAACCTCAAAAAGTCATCTGGTCCTCTTGCATTGAAGAGAGTAATCCCTATCTGGTATTGTAAGGAAAACACACACACACACACACACACACACACACACACACACACGCACACGCACACACGCACACACACACGCGCGCACACACACACACACACACACACACACACACACTACTCAGTTTCCTTATCTGCAAAAATGAAGTAGTTGGGCTAGATGATCTATAAGGTCTCTTTCTGTTCTGGTCAGAGACTCTGAGGGTCTTCCCCTCCCAAATAGATTCTTTTGTGAAGGGAAACTAGGCCATCTTTTGCCTCGATTCTTACCTAGCCTTTAACTACTGAATGGGTGTTGCCTCAAAGGAACTGAGACCAGGCAAAAACCTTAGCTTAGAAAGGTCAAGGTTTCCCACTGTATACGGAGCTATCATCAGTCATCCCGACCTATGTCTTGCCTCTGGACTCTGATGACTCTGAAGGAGAGAGCGAGGCTGGTGACTTTGCACAGTTCTACCTCAGTTAAATCCAATTCACTTTCAAGTCAAGACATCACCCTCCTGATGTCACTGGTCCTCTTTGAGAATGAAGGACGAAAAACAAATCTATGAGTTGTACCCCTCTGTGACGGGTAACTAAGTCCAAAAAAGGTTGGAATCAGAAGTCATGAATTCTAGCACCAAGTCCACTGATTCTTAATATTATTACATTTCAAGAGTCAGTGGGACATATCTAAGAGTTAGGAAGTCCTGGATTCCAATATTGCCTTTGGCACTTACAGTTGTATAATTATGGGCGAGTCAATTAAATTCTTTTCCCATGACAAGACTCTACTGCTTCTGCACACAGTGAATTAGAATCAGATCAAGGAATGATTTTCCTGGTATTCTACTCCCAAGTAGGGAGTGGAAAATGATCACATTTCACATGTCTTTTATTTATTTGTGATGGCTGTTCCCACACTTTTACAAGCCTGCTGGCAGGCAGAGACCTGTTGTTTTCTTTTATTTTGTTTTTAATGCAAACTTTAGAAATGACAGACTATAGCCAGCTTCAGTGTATTGAACAAGGGCAAATTTAAATGATTTCCTTTCAGTATTCAGCTCTCTAAAAACACAAGGTCCATGCTACTGAATACTGGATTTCATTTTCAAAGAAAGTTTACCACATTTTGCTGATTCTCTCCTTCCAAGCCAACCATTTACTCTCTCTGCTGCAGAAAGGAGTACTTCAGAAAATTAAATGGAAAAGCCTTGACAGGACTTGGAATTCGTTATCTTTATTGCAGCTACAAAACAGCACGTTTGTCAGAAGCAAGGTTGAGCTCTGTTGTTATTGGTTTTCCACCCTGCCCTGACATTCAGATGGAGGCAAGAGAAGTGTATCGTATCGTGTCTAAATGGCTAAGGGATCAGATGACAGCTTCCACTGTCTTCTACCCTCTACACATGTTCCCTTGGGGAGATGAGGACAGTTACAGCAAATCTCTAAGGTGGAGACAAGGATACAGTGGCAACCACTTCCGTTCACTTTCCTATGGGGGGAGGGAATCAGAGAAGGACACAGAGCAGGTCTCTTTGTCCTTTGCCTCCGGTCATTCTTGGAGATGAAAAAAAGGAAGTGCCATAATAGGTGAGGAATCAAGAAAAAGATCTCAGCAATCAGTTATTCAAATCACACTGGGCAACATCTCCTGAACACACACCTCCCCATACCTGGCATCCCTCTTTCCTAATGCCTGCTTCTTGAAATTCTGTACTTTTGGCAAAGATCTGAAATGCTTCCTCCTCTGTGGAGCCTTCCTTGATCTCTTCCTGAAAATGAGCTTTTTAGACTCACATAATAATAGGTGATATTAAATTAGTTTTAAGATTTTGCAAAGCACTTTACATTCGTTATTCATTTTCGTCTCACAATACCAAACTGACATGAAATCTACAGGCATTATTATTCCTATTTTAAGGATAATCCAAAGCACAGAGTAGATAGGCGGCTTGCCTAGGGTCATACAATAGGTATGTATCTGAGGCAGGATTTGAACTCCTGTCTTTCTGCCGTTAGGTTCCTTGTTGTATCCACTAATAACCAGCTCTGCCTCTTCTAGCTCTCAAAAATCACCTTTCTTCTTTATGTACTTTTCTTTGGGTAATATAGTCTAATCTCCCCCCCACCCATTTTACAGGAATTGTAATTCCTGTAGGAATTACAGGGGGAAATTGAGGGTCATAGGAGTTAAATGATTTGTCCAAGGTCACACAGAGTATCAATGGTAGGACTTGACTACAGGTCCTTTGCAATACAGTTATGTAAGGATATGTCATACCTCTCTACACTAGAAAATGAGTTCCATTGCACAGTGCTAGGAATTAGAACACTTGAGTTCAAATCTAGCCTCAGACACTTACTGTGTGCCCCTGGGCAAATCATTTAACCTCTATCTCAGTTTCCTCAATTACTAAGGATAATAATAACATTTACTTCCCAAGGTTGTTATGAGGACCAAATGAGATATTTGTGCTTAACATAGGGCTTGGCTTGGTCCTTAATAAATGCTTGCTTGTTTCTTTCTTCATTTCCTTCATTCCTTTGTTCCTTCCTTTCTTCTTTCCTTCTTTTCTTCCTTCCTTCCTTTTTTTTCCTCTACTGAATTGCATATAGTATAGGAACTTAATAAATATTTGATGAATGAATGAATGACTCTAGTACAGCTCCTTCATTTGACAGATGAGGAAACAGAACCAGAGCGGGAAAGAGACTTACCCAAGGTCACATATTTAGTTCATGTTTCAACTAGGAGAACCTGGGTCTCCAGATGTTCCAACCATTGCCTCTTCCACTATATGTTGATTCATCTTTCATAATAATGGGGTATGGGCCTGGTTCTCAATCAGTTACTCTTATTCATAGGGCTGCATCATTGGATGTGAGAAAGGGACCTGTCTACTTCAAAACACGGCATTTCCATCATGAAAGGCTGGCCCCTAATTAAATAGCCATCATCATGAATGACATGACAACAGTCACAGCTGCTTTAATTACTTGTTCAAATGAGTGGCAAGAAATTGTACTCACCCAACAGGCTTTTCCCCTTGCTTAGCTTCTGAATCCTGTTCATTTCATTCTGGCAAGGGAGACCTAAAATATAATTTATAAGAGTCAGTTTCCAGATGGTGTGGGATATAATCTCTAATGATTGGCTTCACTTTTGACATGAAATATAGCCAATAGTACACCTGGGAATGGAATTACTCCATATGCTGGTCCTGAACAGCGAGACAAATTTGAGCCATTAGTGTTATTCATTAACAAAAAAAAAAAAAAAAAAAAGCAAAGTGTATTTAAAAATAGTGTTTGGGGGCTAGGTGGGTGGCAAGATACTTTTTTTTTTCCTATCTACCACCATCTCCAAAAAGGTCCAGAGTCTAATTTACTATTGGCTAACAGACTTATTTCTTGCCATCAGGAAACATGTAACCTCCTAAGGTTTCTATCAGCAGGAGAAAGAGGATCAAGATTCCATTAGCTGAGAACAGTTAATCTAAATACTAGATCAGTATAATAATAGCATGATGAATCCTTTGTCTGCTACCCTTTTACTATGTCTCACATGGCAGAAAGTGAGTCCTCAGTATGTTTATCCAGCAAACTAATTCAGCCCTCATGGCCTTCTAGCTTTGAAATAGGAAATTAGATACCACTATTAAGATATAGTAGGAAGCCAGAATAGCTCCTTCCTTTGATAGATTCTCCAATGTATCATTTACATAGACATTGGAATCACCTCTCAGGTCTCTTACCTATTGAAGGGCAAGGAGTTAAAGCCTTAAATTAGAATGGAGCTTGTTGGAGTATATCAGTACATAAAATACCTTCACTACACCTCACCTCCAGGATTGAATTTACCTGCCTTTCTAAACAAACTGACCTCTTGGATCCCTTAAAATTACATTGTTCCTTTCTTCTGAAAACCTCAAAGCACTCATATAATCTACTTTTTGCTTACTCCTACAACATTTCCTGGGTGCCTTTTTCTCCCCTTCTCTTGATTGAGGACACAGGGGCTCAGAAATATTTGGTAAATTACAGGCAGTATACACATTCTTTGATAGATGAGGAAGAGGAGGATTAGCCCTCAGGTCTCAGGACCAATCAATGCCTTGGACTTTTGTCCTGCATCTTCTAGCCTTACTCATCTACTTACAAAATATAATTGTATGTTTATAAATATATGCTGTTCTATGAATTATATAACCTGTTAATTAAGCTCAGAGATTTTATAACCCTATCTTTTTTTGTCTACCTGCCCATGGAGAGGAAGTAGGAGTGAAATAGATAAAAACTGTCAGTCTTTAAGTTGCACAAATTCACACCTGCTCTTGGATTAGTTTGATAAGTGGGAAGACTATCCAAATGGGAAGACAATAATACTTTACATTTACATAATGTTTTCAAAGAACCTGTCATTTGCTTTAACAATAATGCTATCATTTAGGTAAAAAAGACTTCACTTTACAAATGAGAAAATAGAGGCTCAGAGAGTCTGAATGACTTGTCCAAAGTCACACAGCTATTTAGGATAAGACCAGGGACTGAGACCCTTGATTTCTAATTCCAGGTTTGTTTGTTTTTCCCCAGTATACTATACTTAAAATGGAAATGGATTTGTAAATTGACAGCATGCAAATGCTAGTAAGAAGCAATAAATTCTGTATTTCTATGCAATATCATACTGTCCTCTAGTTTCTCACTTGAGATATATCAATTTATTAATTACAAATTATATAATATCATACTATACTATATATTATAATTACACATAAATTATAATTGATATATTAATCAATATATTAATTAACTTTTTTCCCATCCCATTAAAATATAAATTTCCCAACCCACCTCCATGAGCATATGACGAATGTGACTGAATTAGACATTAGACCAATTATCCGGATTCTGACCTACTCCTTACCTCCTGGCTTCTGAAAGCAATAGCACCATTCATTGTTTGAGAGTTTCCCATCTTTGAAAGAGTCACAAGAATTGAAGAGGGGTTTGAGGCATGGTTCATACTTGTCAAGGTAAATGGCATTGATCTCTGAGTGGTCAAGCAAGAGATCATAATTCATGTCTAATTTGTTGAACATCCATCCCAGGGAGTCCTTGCAGATAGGCAGAATGCTGGTGTCAAACCCTAGGAGATGACACACAAAAAAAATTCTGGAACTGGACCAAGTCTGAGGTCTCCCGAACCAGGAAAAGTCCTTCACAAAGTCCCTGTTTGTCCATGATTCAAAATCCTATAAAGACTATCATAATCCCAACTACTTTCCCTCCCCCACCCCATCCACACTCACTTCTCTCCCCTTTCTCCAATGCTTTACAACAAAGACTCTACCTATAACCAGTAGACCAGGTGTCCTGCCTATTCCTCCCTGGCCGTGGAGTCGTAGGGTTATATAGCTAGAGCTGGAAGGAATCTCAGAGGTTATCAAGCTAAACTATTTCAATTGAGGATCAGGAGATGAGTAAGTATTACAGGTAAGATTCAGATTCATGCCCTCTGACTCTAGAGTCAGTGACCTCTCTACTGCTCCAAACGTATTCATCAATACTTTCAACTTCAATAGTCTTATTAAACTCAAGGTATTGTGCTATAAGTGCTGGCAATACAAAGACATAAAACAAAACAGTCACCACCCTCAAGGAACTTATATTCGACTATATTTTTTTTTATTTTAAAATAAAAGTTCTAGCGTAAAAATCATTTGGTTTGGAAGTCAGAGAATAATTTCAAATGTTCTCTCTGCTATACCACTATCTGTGTAACCCTGGGCAAAGGCTTAACCTCTTTAGGCCAAAGTTTTATTGTTGTTTTGTTTTTAGATGTAAAAATGACCTCTAGGGTACTTTATAGCTAAAGATGCTAGGTCTATCACAATTTATACATTAGCCTTAAATCAAACTTTCATAAATCAAAACATTTCAAATGCACTAGGCAGGCCCACTGTGAGAATTTCACAGCAAATGCCTTTATAAAGTGAAGATGGCCCCTAACATCACCATGATTGATCTCTTGTGTAAAATCTAGATATTCATATATTGAGTTTGCTTAACGTGGGACACAGGTTCTATAGGGGAGTACAAATGCATTGGTTAAGGGTCATTAAGTACAATTTTATAAAGGAACGAGAATTGTTCATGCTTCAATATTTTGAAGTGAGATGGGGCTTGCCAGTGGGAAGTTTGTCTATTTGGCTGAGAACTACACGGTTGCAGGAAATATTGATCTCAAGCTCACCTGGGGAAGAAATAAACCTAGACAAGCATGGGACAATGGGAAAATATGATGAATGAATATTCCGATTTGCACAAGAGATAAATTATAAATGTTGGGAATAAAATTAAAATTAAATAAAATTAAAACAGTTTGGAAGCTTTTACTCTACAAAAGGAAAATCCCATGAATAACAAGCTCCCCTAATAAATACATCTTAAATAAATATGGAATGTCAGAACTGACAAAGATCTTACTGGTCTTATAATCCAATCCACTCATTTTATAAAGTGGGAAGCTGAGGCCCAGAGAGGGTAATCGGTTTGCCCTTCTTTCTGTCCTCTCGTTAAGTTCCAGATACAAGAGCCAAATCAACCCAGATAAAGCTATCCCTGCAATTTAAACCAATGTTTGGGCACTGCCTCCTGGTGGTAGTGTTGAAGGCATAAAACTTTCTGTTGCTGAGGAGGCTGATGAATCCCTTGAGGTCAGAGTTTCTAAGTTGCATGCAGTAGGGCTAAAGCCAAAAGAGCGTTCAAACTAAGTCTAGCACTAATATGGTGAGCTCCCAGGAGTAGAGGGCCACCAGGCTACCTAAAGAAAGGGTGTGCCCCATTTAAGTTGGGAAAATGGAACAGTTTAAAGTTTCCATGCCAATCAATCAATATTGTGATCAAGTCTGCAAGCGGCTGCTGCATTTTCAGCCTGGGCACTTCTAGAAGAGGCACTTCTGGTGAGAATAGTGAGACCAAGTCTCAAAAAACAAAAACAAAAACAAATAAACAAAACAAAACAAAAAAAAAGCCACAGTGTTTTGATCCCCTGTATAAACTAAATGTCAAGGACTTATGATTAATTAATGATTTCATTAATGTGAGAATTCCTTCCAATCACTGGGATGGATAGCAAACTACCTACAATTTAAAGTCTTAGAGAGTTGTCTGAGGCTTAGAAAGGTTAAGTGACATGCTTGTATGTTATCACATAACTAGCAAGTGTCAGAGGTGGGATTTAAACCCAAGTCTTCCTGATTCTTTAGGACTCTTGCTATTCATAATGGAGACCACTGGTGTCAAACTCCAATATAAATGAATCCCTGTAAGCTGCATATTGGCTTAGAAAACTACAAATTAACATTATCTGTGTTGTATTTTTATTTAGTTTGTTAAACATTTCCCAATTACATTTTAATCTGGTTCAAGTCATACTTGGAAGTTTGCCAACTACTTGTCCAATTCTGCTTCCTTTACCACTACTATAATACCAATCTGTGAGTTTCACACCTCTGATGTTGATTATAACCACTTAAAAAGAAAACAAAAGCTTTGCTAAATATTATGTGTATTTAGTTTGTCTAGAAACATCTTAAAGAAGTCACAGTTGAAATCTAAGGTGCTCATGCATCTTTCAGAAAGGAATGGAAAATCCTAATCCATTATACATACTTTGGTAGGGTGCTGCCTTTAGATTTCTGATGTTCCCTCCTCAGAAGCAGAGAGATCAGTGCTGAGTATCAATCACCTTCATCCTGAATCAAGACTAATCATTTCATAATACAGCCAGTTTTTCAAGGTCACATTCAATTGAGTCTAAGGGCTCTCACATCAGCCTATCCCTACAGCTAGTCCCAGGACCCTCTGTAATGGCGAAGACTGAAAGCTTTAACACATGGGAAAGGTAACATCAAGGAAAGATTCCTAGATGAAAAGAATATAGGGGCTCAACAAGTATATGGGAAGAAAGTATGACCTATAATTTCGTAAAGGTGGAAAAGTCAACAAGGAGAAATTCTATACTGGATCTGATTCCCTCTAAGAAAGAAGAATTGCTTGCTAGGGTAGAAATGATGGGAACCTTGTGGAGAAATGACCATTTCCTTCTAGAATTTGTGATGTTGGAGAGGAAAGCAAAGCATAGTCTGACATGTACTCTAGATTTTGTGAACTGTCAAATTCTAAAGAACCAAAGGAAAACAATTTCAATGGAGGTGAAAATGTGAATTATTGAAAGCAAATGAGGTGAATGCCCCAAGAACTCAATATCCAACTTAAATTTTTAAAAGTTAAGTACATGATATGGAGCCAAGGGAAAGTAATAGGAGATAATAACAATATATTACATAATCATGTAATTATAAAATAATAGGGAATAAAAGCTTGGCTCAGTCTTGTAAAAATAGTGTTAGTATGAAAACTCAGAACAAATAGCTGTGGGTGATGGAACCTGACATAAAGGGGTCAATTTGTTTTCCTAGCTATTTTGTAGGAAAGAAAATCAGAGAAGGAATAGTACTGCTATGGGAGGATGGGAGGATGGAAAAAGACCACAGAGAGGAGAAAGAAATGTTTAATCCTTATCTTGCTTCTTTTTTCTCTGACAAAGAAAACTGCACTAGAAATGAACAAAGATTCTTAACAAGATATGCACTGATAACCTATTAGGAGAGGACCAACCTAGCCACACTTGATGAATTTAAGTTACCTGGTCCAGAAGAACCACATCCCCTGACATCAAAAGAACTGGAATATGTGATTGCTGAATCACTGTCAGTTAGATTTTGAAAGATTGTGGAGAACACAAGAGGAACCATAAAGCTGAAACAGGGCAGATATTATCTTAATTAAAAAAAAGAGTTTGAGAAAAGAATCTGAAAATTTTAGGTTAGTGACCTTAATTGTGATGGATTTCTCAAGAAATTCAAGAATGGATCATTAGAGAGATATTTAGTGAACATAATGAAAAACAATTCAAGTACAAAGAGCCAACATGGCTTTATCAAGAACATGTCATAGCAGACTAAACTAATTCCTTTTTGTGACAGCTTTACTGACCAAATAGATCAGAAGAATGATGTAGATAAAATTGGCTTATATTTAGCAAGGTATGTCATACTATCTTTGCGAAAAAATGGGAGATATGCAAATTAGATGACCAAAGGATCATAGATTTGGCATTGAAAGGGATCTCAGAAGTCATCTAATCCAACCCTCTCATTTTACAGAGGAAGAAACTAAGCCCAAGGAAGTTAAGAGGGTTTCAAGAAATGGTTGAAGAGCTAAACTCAAAAAGTTGTTGTTGATGGTTTCAATGTTAGCTTTATATGATTAACTTGATAAGAAGTCTACAGTAGAGTGCCCCAGGGGTCTGTGCTTCAACAGTGATATTTAATATTTTTATCAATAACTTAGATAAATGGTATGCTTATCAGATTTGGAGATGGCACAAAGCTCAGAAGTTTAACTAAGACACTAGAGGACATATTTTGGATCCAGAAAAGATCTAGGCTGAAATTTTTATTTGAATCTAAAGTCTGACATAAGTTTGAAAAATCAACTCCTTGTATACCAGATGAGAGAGATATAGTTAGTTAGCAGTTTGTCTGAAAAAAATCTGGGGTGGGGGAAGGGTCTTAGTGGACAATAAGTTTAATATGAGTCAGCTCTGTCATATGGAAATCAAAAAAGACAAAGTAACCCAAAGTAACCTAAGGGGCAGAATTCCCAGGAATAAGGAAGTGTTGGCCTGTCTACACTCTGCAATGATCAATGGGCTTTTGGAGTATTGTGTTCTGTTCTGGGTGCCATAGTTTAAGAAAAAATAATTGGTAAACTAGAGAGTGTTCAGAAGAAGGAAAGCAGGATGGCAAAAGACCTTGAGTTCATGTGATGTTAAGATTGGTTGAAGGAATCAGGATTTTTAGCTTAGAAAAGACAAGACTTGGGATATGATTAAGGTATTTGAAGGACTGTCATATGGAAGAGGAATTAAGACTTCCTCTGTTTGGATCCAGAAGATAATATTACAAACAGTGAGGAGAAGTGTCAAGGAGGCTTATTTAGACCTGGTGTCAGGGAGATCTTCCTTAGTAGTAGGGCTGTCCCTAAGTGGAATGGACTGCTTCAAAAGGTATTGGACCGCCCTTCGTGGGTGATCTTCAAGTAGAGGCTGGAGAGCCACTTACCAGGTACGTAAAACGGGATGTTAATAATTGTTGTTGAAAGCATGGCTGCCAAAAAGATATGAGAAGACACCTCTCCTCGCTCATTTACAATGATAGAAAGTACACAGGTGTAGAATTTTGTAAATGTCAGATTTTTCAATGTATTGATTAGTTTTACTGAGTTTTTTTTCTTCTTTTCCTTTTTTTTTTAAAAAATCTTTGACATGACAGAGGGAGAAAGATACAGGAAGAAATCAAGGCAATATAAAAACAGAAAATATCAATAAATAATGTATTTTAAAAATAAATGCTCGTTGATTCATCGACTATTGTTTTACTTGGGTATTAGTATGTGTTTGTAGTTTAACACATGGTGCTGCCAATAAGCCTTTTTCTTGTACTCCTTTCTAATTTGAGACTCCAAATGGACTATTGTCTTAGAAATCAGATTGAACAACGATTTAATTCCACAAATGTTAATTGCTTACTATGTTTAAGGCACTAGAGGTACAAAGACAAAAATGAAATAGAGTCTTCTTTTAAGGAGTTTTCATTCCACTGGGATAATCACTTAACAGATAATCAATCAATGACATTGCCATGTGTATTAAAATTCCTAGGAAATGTCAATCCAATGTTTGAGAGAGCAGATGGACACTAACCCAAAGCAGGGTTAGGCTGGCAGAGCATGGAATCGAGGGCAAAGGGATCAAGGATTTCTACTGTTAAAAGGCTTTTAGCAGTTACAGCAGGAGTGGATGCCAAAGGAAGAAAGCCCGAGTATCCTCCTTTCAGCTGGCTGCCAGAGAGTAAAGAAAACAGCAAAATTCAGAATCCCAGAAATACCTGAGAACTCTTAAGTCTCCATCTTAAAACTTCACTTTCCATGGGCCTTAGAGGCTAACCTAAGGAAGTCATTTATTTTTTCTCCTTTCATATTAATTGCCTCAGAACATTAAAACATAATAATATAATTAGGGCATCACGTAACAACAACAACATTTTAAATGCCTTTTCAGGGAATCAGCTTGATTCTCAATTATGGAGCAAGTCTCCAGTCTTTCAAGGTTGTCTAAAGAAAAGAAGATGCTTTTGTGGTATTGGGCCAAGACGAATAGCTTAGCTTAGCTTAGCACATCAATCTGACCTTTGTTGAAAGGCAGTTCAAAAAGGCCAAAGGGGCTGGCTGCCCCTAGCATCCTGATCAGAAGTCCGCTTTAGATGGGAAAGGAATTAATTGCCCATAAATCCTGAGGGACAACTGTGAAATAAGTCTTTTGAGAACAGCTGCTCCTTTCATCTATCCTACAGATGTCCAGCTGGGCTGGACACATATTTGATATCTAGCTTTTGAAGGGCGAACACTAACTCTCTCAGGAATCCAACGTCTTGATCCACTGTAAAAACTCTTAAATCATCCTTTTCCCACTGCCATCTCGGGATGCAGAAAACAATCCAAGACCAATGAAGTACTTTATCTTGAAGAAGAGGAGAAGATATCTGAGCTTGGAACCCAGCATTTGGTTAGCGGTTAATACCCATCTGTCCCATGGTACTTATTGCCTGGTCAGTACATTCTGGTCCTTTACACTATTTGGTTTAACTAATGATTACATATTATGGTACCCTTGTGGGTGACAACTTTTAATTTTTAAAGTCTTTGTAACCCCAGCACCTGCCAACACATAATAGGCACTTAATACATGTTTGTTGATTATTATTTCTGTGTGTTGCTCTTTGGTGGTTTCCTACAGATCTTGTCTTTCCAATTGGACAAGAGACAAGGTTTCTTCTTTTTTTGCCACTATCATTGTCATGGCAAAGTGAATACAAAGTAGGCTACAGTCACACATTCAGGTTGTGTGGCCCTGACACAACCTCTCAATGCTTCAGGCAGCTTTCTCAAGTGTGTTGTTGAGTTGTTTTAGTCATGCTGAGTCTTCATGATTCCATTTGGGGTTTTTTTGGTAAAGATACTAGAGTGGTTTGCCATTGCCTCCTCTGCTCATTTTACAGAAGAGGAAACTGAGGTAAACAGAGTTAAGTGACTTGCCCAGGATCACACAGCTACAAAGTTTCTGAGGCCAGATCTGAACTCATGAAGATGAGTCTTCCTGATTCCAAGTCTCTATCCTCTGTTCCACCTAGTTGCCCTACTTGTTTTTGAGTCATTTCAGTCACATCTGACTCAAATGTTAAATGGCAAAACAGGTAAAGATCTGAATTAATAGAAGGAATTTCCACATCAGAAGTTCCTTATGCAAATGACATGTTTTTGTCTTTCTCCGTATAGTGTTTTTAACACACTGTCTGACACATAAGAAAAGCTTAATAAATGCTTGTTGACTGAAATCAGAGGCCCAATTTTTAAAAATGATACCAATAATAACTTGCAACTTCTAGGTGCAGTACAGTTATTCTAAAAATCCTTGTTAACTTGAACTGAAATACTGTGAGTAAAAACCATGCCACATACATACAGTTTTTCTAAGGTTTCCCAAGTTGTCATTTTCAGAAAATCAGTTTTATACCTTATACTAAATTCATATCTACTCTCTCTTTAATTTGATTAATCCTGGGTTTCTTTGATGCCATATCACCCATAATTTCCATTTTGAAAGTCTAAAGTCATCATCCTGACTGTGAGAGCCCATCACCAATGCCCTATTAAGCAATGAGGCAAATGTAGGATTTATACTAGAAAAATATCCTAACAATTTGAGCCATTCAAAAAATGGAAGGGGTTACATATAGAAGTAGGGGCTTTCCCCTCACCAGAGGTCTTCAAAACAATGACTGGATTGGATGATCAGCTGCTGGGTTTGTTGTGGCAAGGACTCTTTTTCAGGTATGAGTTACAGGAGATGGCTGCTGAGGACCCTTTCAGCTATGGAACTCTATATGATGCTGACAGTTAAAATACTTCCATGGAGTTGTTGCAGGTCCCTTTCTGGAGGTGAGTGCTCCAAAGCTTTTTAGTTGCCTACCAAATTGTTTCACATTCATCTCTAACATGATTTATCTATCTATTTTTCTATCAATTCATCAAACACCCTTTGTGTGCAGAGCACTGTGAGAGATGTTGGGGTAGATACAATGCTTAGATGAAGAACTATCCTTGCTCTCATGGAAGTTATACAGTCTAGCAGAGGAAGGACACACCCACATAGAAAATTATATTGCACAATGCCCCAGAATATCAGACCTGAGGTACATTAAGGGAAGTAAGGGCCAAGGGTAAATGTCATTACCAAGTTGGAGGATTAAGAATAGGTTTCATGGAGGAGGCAGCATTTGAGTTAGTCCTTAAAGCATACACAGGAATTCATCAAGTAAAGATGAAAGAGAGGGCATAGCTTATATAAGGAAAAGTGTAAGCAAATATAGAGAGGTTTATTCTGTAAGCAAAACATAGCCCAGTTCAGCCACGGAATATAGTGTGGAAGGGAATAACATGAGATAATTCTGGAAGGTTCTTTTATGCTGTACTTATCACTATCTTTGGCAAACTTTTTTCACAGTGTCACTAAGAACTCTATATTTTTGGGGGTAGCTCAGTGGTGTAGATGATTGAGTGTTGGCATTGGAGTCATGAAGACCTGAATTTAAAACCTACCTCAGACACTTACTAGTTTTATGACTCTGGACAAGTCACTTAACCTCTTCTGTCTAAACTGTAGCTATCTTACCAGGGTGGTTGTAAGAATCAAATCAAATGAGAGTTGATTTTAGAAAAACATGGAAAGACTTACATGAAATAATGAAAAGTCAAGTGAGCAAAATCAAGAGAATGTTGTAAACGGTAACAGCAGTATTGTTCAAAGAATAATTGTGAACAACCAAGTTATTCCGAGTGCTATAAATACTCAGATCAACTATAAAAATCTATGAAGGAAGATGCTATCTACCTCCAGAGAAAGAACTGATAAATAGAAGTATGCATAGTATAGTTTTACATATATTTATAAACCCGAGTCAAATGGTGGCTTTCTTTAGTGTGGAGTGGGAAGGGAAGGAAGATGATAATTTAGAATTTAAAATGTAACAAAAAATAAAGAAAGAAAAAAATTAAACAAGGTAATATATGTAAAATACTTATACCTTAAATTACCATATGAATGCAAACTATTTTTATTATCTGCAAAGTTCTGCCTCAGCCATTGGGGGTTGACAGCCTGGTGTTCTACCTTCCTTTTCTTCTTCATGCCCAGCACCTTATTCTACTCTTCCCAATATCATTTTAGGCTGGATAAACTCAGTGTGTGTGAACAAAATCTCTCTTGTCTATTTCAAGTCTGGCACTGAAATAGCTTGTCTCCTGTTTCAATCTGAGGCATGGTATTGAATGGGCCATGTTGCAGGATCAGCCCTTGCCAGACCCCACAGCCCAGGCCAGTGACAGAGCTAGCCTTTGAATGATATCAGATTGGTAAAGCATGTCTTTGGTGATCTTCCACCTCCCCTATCTGTCTCAGAGAAAACCCAGATAAGGTGTGAGCTAATAGTGGTTTAAAGTATCACTCTACTCAGAGTATTTCAATTTAATACAAAGACTCCAAGGCAGGTCTTCTTTGCACTATGCCTTTATCAATATCATACTAAAATATTTCATAGTATCCCTGTGACATGGCACGTTGGTATTACAATCTTTGTAGTTAAGGTCCAACTCTACCTCACCTCTTACAGCTTAAAAAAAATATATCTTGTCTTACTGCTTTGTGCTGGGTCTGAGCTAGTGGGCTTGATGACATGATTCGCATCCTCATGAAGAGTTCCAAACCAATCTTTTAGCCGGGAAGCAAGATTCCTCAACTCCTTGTCTGTGCAGCCTAGAGAGAAATACAAAAAAGAGGATGAGTTATTAAATTGTTCATATCCTTTGACCCCCTACTGGGAATATCCCTTGAGATCAAAAACAGAAAGAAAGATTCCACATGAGCGACCTTAGACAAGTCACTTACAATCTCTGGGTCTCACTTTCCTCATCTTTCATATGAGGTTAGATTAGATGACTTCTAAGGAAGCTTTCAGATATAAAATCTAATTGTGTTGGAAGCAATGGCTGTGAGGAATTCAGAGAAACATGGGGACAGTTATACGAAATGACACAGAGCCAAGTAAGCAGAACCAGGACTACAATATACAGAATGACTCTAATAATGTAAATTAAAAGCAATACCAAAAAGAAAGCTGAATTCTGATTAACTACGACTAATCTTGGGCCTGAAGGACAAATGATGAAACATGCTTTCCTCTTGTCACCAAAGAGGTGTGGAACTATGAACAAGGTATGTGGTATTTGCTGTCAAACACAGTCACCAAGTCATTAGGTTTTACTTCATTTATCTATCTATTTATTTATTTATTTATTTATTCATTTACTCATTTATTTATTTATTTATTTATTCATTCATTCATTCATTCATTCATTCATTCATTCATTCATTCATTTATTCATTCATTCATTTATTTATTTATTTATTTATTTATTTATTTATTTATTTATTTATTTATTTTAGGCAATTGGGGTTAAGTGACTTGCCTAGGGTCACACAGTTAGTAAGTGTCAAGTGTTTGGTCTGAGGTCAGATTTAAACTCAGGTCCTCCTGACTTCAGAGCCAGTGCTCTATCCACTGCGCCACCTAGCTGCCCCCATTAGGTTTTACTAAAAAAAAATTTCTTTTTCTTTGTTACAAGGAAGGAATCAATGAAGGCAGGCTTAAGAGAAAATGACTATGAGATAAAAATAAATGGTATCAATAGAATGTAATGAGGTAATCAGGGCAGGCTCCTCCCACTCCCAACTGCTGGTCCAGGCCACATGGGCCACCCCATGGAGGCTGCTTGGGGATGGTCCTGTACCCTGGCCCCTTCCAATAAACCTCTTACTAAAGGACAGGCACACCCAGGGTCTTTTATTTGGCCCTATCCTTGGGGGCTATTGATGATTCAAAAATGTGCAGGAAAAGCTCATTAAGTAAGATTAAAAGGAGAAATAGCTGCAATTCTTTCCCTCTTCCTTTCTGAGCATATTGCTTGGCAGTATGTCAATTCTCCGTTAGACTCCCATCAGAGGCGGGGGGTCAGTATCTTCTTCTCTTCCCACCCTCCTTGAAACAGCTAAGGCATCTATTGTACATAGCAATGTGTGCATGTGCTAGCATGAGATGGGATCTCAAGTCTCTGACTGCCTCTCTGCTGTAGCTTTATTTCAGGTACCAAACAATGGTCCTGAGATAGAATTATTTACATTCTTGGGGAGTACCTCATGAGTTCTGGAGGTATTGAGAGGTCCAAGGGCTGTCAACAAGTGGGGCTTCCTATAACCACACCCTTCTCATATGAAAAGATAGCCAGGACAATGAGGCAGGCATGACTCAGGTAGGCCAGAGTATATGGACCATAAGTGAAGTGATATTTAGATAGCACAGACTGAGGTCAAAGTGAACTTTGTTAAGCAGGCTCATAAGTCTCTTGGGAATATTTAACTCTTGGTAGAACTTAACATAGGCACCGAGCTTCTATGAATCCCTTGAGTACTTCACAAATTTTCTATATCTATTTATAACCTTCTGTGAGTCCACTATTACAGGTTACTGTTTCATGTTTTAAATATTTGTCAATGCAGTTTTTGAGTTATTTGTATTATAAGTATTTCTTTGTTAGTAGAAGAAATTAATAGTTTTACTGTACCTGAAGTCTACTACTTTGTACATTAAATGCCTTTTCTTGAAAGGGCCCTGCCAATCCCTTTTGGGGTAACCCTAGATATGAGTCATATCTAAGCTTTGAGATTTCCCTGATGTCTTAATCCAACGTGAGGAAATGAGTTAGAGAAAGTTAGAGAAAAGACTGACCCCATTTTAGAGTTTAGGTTCCCTCAGGACTGAAATAGTAGGACCCTTTTTAGAAGGCAAGGCCTCCTCTCCAAAGGCCAGAGGTGGAAGGCTATCACAAAAACAAAGGAACCTGTTGTTTCCCACTAGGTCAGCTTTCCACAGGCACCAATGTAAAGGTAACAGCAATAACAAATCTTCAATCTTTCTATAGAAAGCCAGTAACAAAGTATACTACTTTTCTATTAAAAAACAGGCAATATGCTTTGTTAATTAAAGGGAGGATTGACAATAAAGGTCCTTAGCTTTAAACACCAAGTAAGAAAACCAAACAAAAAAGGAAGATTCATGAAGGAATAGCATAACAATATTATTAATAACAAGACATTAAGGATGATTTATACAAAATTAATACAGAACTATTTGGAGGGGTAAGGGTCTAACAGAGAAATAAGAAAAGGCTTTATGTATGGTAGAATGCAGCACTCAAACTAAGCTTTGTAGGAAATTAGGAATGCTAAGAGGTAAGAGTTCAGGAGGGTATTCCAGGTGTGAGGAATCAGTAGCCTGTGCAAAAGCAAAAACGTAGGAGATGAAATGTTGTATATGTGAGGTATAACAACAAGACCAGTTTTACTGGATTAAAGAGTGTGTTAAGAGTAGTAATGTATAATAAGGTTAGAAAGGTAAACCAGACCTACATTGTTGTTGCTTTGCTGTTTTCAGTTGTGTCTAACTCTTCATGCCCCTTTCTGGGGTTTTCTTGGCAGAGATACTAGAATGATTTGCCATTTCCTTCTCCAGTTCACCTTACAGATGAGGAAACTGAGGCAAACAGGGTTAAGTGACTTGCATAGGGTCATATAGCTAGTGTCTGAGGCAGATTTGAACTCAGGTCTGCCTGACTCCATGCCTGGCACTCACTGTACTACCTAGCTATCCTAAAAGCCAAATAGATGATTTTATTTGATCCTAGAGATAAGAGGGAACCATTAGTGATTATTGAGTAGGGGAGTAATTGGATCTGTTTTTTTGGAAAACTTTTTTTTTGTTTTGTTTTTTGTTGTTGTTTTGTTTTTTTGGCTAGGCAATAGGGTTAGGTGACTTGCCCAAGTTCACACAGGTAGTAAGTGTTATATGTCTGAGGCTGGATTTGAACTCAGGTCCTCCTGAATCTAGGGCCAGTGCTCTATCCATTGCTCCACTTAGCTGCCCCTGGAAAACTTCTTTAGCAACTCTGTGTAGATGGGTTATTATGGGGAAAGACTTAAGAAAGGGAGACCAATTGGGAGACTATTGTAATAGTCTAGAGTAAAGATGATAAGGCCCTGAACTAGGGTGGTGGTTGTATAACTGGAGAAGACAAATAATAAAATCATAGTACAACATTCTATTATGAAAATTAGCTCATTTTTGGTCTAGGAGAAATATAATGGTCCCTAAGATCCATGTGTCTCCTTATCTTAAGCTTTAGGAAGTTAAGTTACAAGTCCAGTCATAATCACTCCAAGCCCCAATTAGGAAAATTCCTAAAATTTAGACAGAGGTTAGGCTCTCTACCTAAATTTATATTTATGTCTATCTCTAGTTAACTTTTAATGTCTTTGTGTTTGAGTCAAAACTCAATTTACTAGAAATATTTTGTTGATAAAATAGCAGCCACTCAAGGGGATAATCTTAATACTGCTTACTTATCAGTCAAGCCTTAATATTCCTCTTTTTCCCAACCCAGGCCAATTCATCCCAACATGGACCAGTTCACCCCTCCTTAGATTACATAATGAACTTCCACTCTTGGGTACTCATAATATCAGTGCCAGATAGTATAGGAATCCAATCAGGCTTTATCCCTACTATAGTTTAGAACTCCTGAACTCAATTGATCCATTAGCAGGGACTATAGGTTTCCTGCATGCTTGGAAAACTCCTTCATTTTATACACTTTCCTTAGGATATAATCAAGTTTTTCACACAATGGCTCTGATTAATTCAGAGTGATATATAATATATGAGCCCTGTTGTTTTGATTGATTGAATCAATCAAGAAATGTTCTTACCTAAGAAAGGTAATTAATTGTACGTGAGTGGTATAATCAAAGAAGTCCTACCCTTACAACAGACTCATATACCTAGAGCAAAAGGCGACTTTGAAGGCCATTGAGTCCAATATCCTTAGTAGTACTCTACCCACTGCACCATCTAACTGCCACTGTCACTGCTAGAAACTAGAGTCATGCCAGTGACTAGTCATGGGAGAAGTTGAGTCATCAGCCTATGATAGGCTGGCAACAATAGCACAGCACCAGCCTACAAATGAAAACTCCACTTAGGAGGGTGAGTATATCCACATCATCAATTCATGAATCCAGGACTTGGAGTAGATATTGTTGAGGCAATTCTACCCATGACGTTTCTGCTGGGCTCAGGAATCAGAAACGCACTTGTTGTTTAGTAATTTTTAGTCACGTTCAACTCTTCGTGACCCCATTTGGGGTTTTCTTGACAGAGAAACTGGAATGGTTTGCCATTTCCTTCTCCGGCTCATTTTACCAATGAGGAAACAGAGACAAACAGGGTTAAATGACTTGTCCACGACCACACAGCTAGTAAGTGTCTGAGGCCAGATTTGAATTCAGGAAGATACCCAGCACTCTATGCCCAGCACTACCTAGCTGTCCTTGGAATTAGAAGACCTGAATTCAAATCTGGCTTCAGACACTTACTAGATATGTGACCCTGGTCAAATAGTTTAATCTCTGCCTGCCTCAGTTTTCTTAATAGTAAAATGGGGATAATAAATAGTACCTACCTCCCAGGGTTGTTGTAAGGATCAAATCAGATACTTTTTGTAATGTGTTTAGCATAGTACCTGGCACATCATAGGTTAATATACGTTTGAATGCTCCCTTCCCCCAACTTCTCTTGCTGGGGGAAGAAAAAAACATTTGTGAACTCAATGCATAAACAGAACCAGCTGCACAGGAGCTCTTAG